CATTTACACTCAATTTGAGAGTTGTAATCCCCGTATTCCCCCTGGAAACCATTAGTATATCAACATCTGAATTTTGGAAACTTGTCATTTAGAGAGAGGGAGGGATAGAGATAGATCTACAGTGTGTGCAGACTTTAGGTACAGCCTTGGTTCTACAACAACACCTTATTCACCACTATAATCATAAAGACCATGATTAGTATAATATGGTAGTTAGTGAAGGGCTGGCACTAAAGCCTGAACTCCGTATAGCTCACCAGTACCAGGAATTAAATAATACACTCTTCCATTCCCTTCTCTCCTCATCTTTCTCTTTTGTCCTTTCCTCTCCTCCTCACCCTGTCCTCCCTTATCCACTCATCTCCTTCTGTGCCAGAGAGATGACTTCATATTCAAGATGGAATGTGATGTTTTGCAGGTCCACAGGACATTGAGAGATGCAGTCAAACCATCCCAAAGAATACAATAAAAAACTCCAAACAAATGCCTAGAGCTGGGATTGAACTCACCGTCTATGGAGCAGGAGCTCACTGCTTAGACCACTGCGCCATCCATCCAAAATGTGTTAGCAAGGCCAGTCTTAATTCATGGCTAAACTTAACCGTGGAGTTGTTTTTCTGTTTTATCCTATCCCAAACCTTACTCCTTAACTTAACCAATCGGAATTAATGCCTGAACTTAATTAACCATATCCCAAACCTTAATCCTTAACTTAACCAATCAAAATTAAACCCTGAACTGTTAACCAATTAATGTTTGAACTTAACTCTAGAGTTGTTTCTGTTTGAACCCTATTCCAAACTTTAACCCTTAATCCAGTCAGAATGAATCCATTAACTTAACTGTAGAGTTGTTTCTATGAGCCTAAATCGTCTAGAGCTCATGTGGGATCTGTGTGCCTTAATGGGTCTTTCTATAAATAATGCGGCCAATGTGTGACATTGGGATAAACATTTCTAAATGGTTTGAAACTAAAATAAAAAGGATGTTTATGCATTTCCACATGTGTACTCAGAGGAATACAACTGAATATATGCAAATTGGCCCATAACTCCACCTATACAACAACATAGGCCTAGGACTATACATCCTTTAAGCAGGGTTCATACAGATATTGGCAAGTCAAATTCAAGGACTTTCAGGGACTTTTTCAAGCACTTCATTGTAATTTTCAAGGACATCAATGTTATACAACTGTATAATTTATATAATTGTACATAAAATGGCAAATATAGAACCACCCCTCCCCCCAGAAACCATGAAAAATGTTTTTTTTTTTTTTTTTTAAAGTAGGCCATTACCACTTTAAAAATAATAATTTTTTTAGGCCTTGTCAATGCATTGATATTCAAATTATTATTACATTCTAAAATATGTGAGAATAGTGTGGACATTGCCTGACTAAATAGATTGGATGCATGCATACGCAGGCACACATAATAAAGCCATGGATAGCATTAATCTCAGAATTTGAATCTCACCATCGCTGTTCTTATTATGAGAAAGTGACCAAAAACCAGGTTCCTTTTTTAATGGAAGGATTTGTATGGAAAGCCAAGTTGAAGCCAACATTAGATGTTTGTCATCCTCAAATAACCGCATGTGGTTTTACCGCAACAGAGTAGCACAACACCCTTCAATTGAAGTGGCGGGAAACAAACTGAAGTGGCCACATCTCTCACAGAAAATGAGAAAAAAATGAAATCATAGATAATTGTAAGGGAGCAGGATAACTTTTCAAGCACCAAATTGAGGAAATGTCAGATTTTCCAGTACTTGAATTTTTGAGCTCCAAATTCATGTTCAAGTAGGCTACTTCAAGCCTAATAATAAAAAAATCCTAATCAAAATCTGTTTCTTTAACTACAGATATCAGTTGGCGGCCTACCGCATTTGCGGTGGAAGGTGGCCGAGCTACAGCTGTTTGTCAGACCATGAGACATGAGGTCTTGTCACAAAAACATCTGTAGCGGCCTACAAACTAATATGACAACTCAATGGAAATATGAGACTCTCGCGAACATGATGGTGTTCTCTGTTTTGCTCTGTGACCCCCAAAAGGGGTGCTAGACCGTCTGAAGTCGGTAGCGCTGATCTGCCAACTTCTGTCTGTAGTGTCAGTTTGGGCTACACACTAATATAATTTGCTCTAGGACGCCCACAAGCCTCACAAGACTCGCCTGAAGGTAGCCGGTACCAGTTTAAAAAATGAATGGAAGTAGTTTAGTGCCTAAAAAAAGGGGTTCAATATGTGTCAACATTTATTATAGAACGTTTCCTGATCTTTCTTATATCTCTCGGATATAGGACAAACACTTCTAAACAGGCTAGTCTATCCTACACAATTGCGCACAGTAGACTCAGTGTCCAATCCGAGGCACAAAAACATATGAAAATGTAGGCTTGGCCCTAATTTATGTGCTCTCTGACACCTAGAGTTGGAAGACTGAAGACAATGCTAAAGGACTAGTCAGCCTTTCCCCCTTCTGAGGGGCGAAAATGTTTCTACAGTATTCAGAGGACTGAGTATTGAATGTGATAGAATAATACTATAGTATCCATGTTTGGTATGTATCTGAAACTTGTTCACTGAGGATAACCCTGACGCTATCTACAGTATATGGATGTATTATCGCTGTGGTAACTAGTATCTGTACAGGGTGAACACTAAATTACTCTCAAAAATATTTTATGGTCCTCCCATTTACATTGGTCTCATCCCCCACATATGTTATTTAAATGCTGTGACACCCTGTGGAGATTGGGCCTTGGTGGTCAGGTTACACTGTAAACTTGGTATCGTTTGATTGGTTAATGGTGGTTGGTCTTGGGTTGAAAGGTTACTTAAATGCCTTTGTTCTCTCTCTTATCCTGTATCCAGTCCATGGAGGAAGGTTGCATGATCAGTTCTCATTTCCTAGGCTTCTAGGCCTCTGGCCTAGTATACATCTCTTTGTTCATGCTTTGTCCTGTAAGTTAATGTTAGGACCTATATGCTTGGAATAATGCCTTGTAATGCTTGTTAATGCCTTGTAACTTAAGCTTTATACAGTACCTTGTATGTGATTCCATTCATTGTACAATGTTAATTAAATATCTGCCTTTGATATAGACCATTCTCAGACCAATTCCTGCTGGTCTACGTCAAGTTATTGCCTAATGCTTGCGTGTATATTCTAATTATCTTTATGAAGTCAGATAAAGATTTTAATAGGCTAATTGCTTAGTCTTATTACGAGTCACATGTGAGGTTTTTATAATATCATATATACTGTATATACACATGTCAAATACTACTGCCCCACTACAAAAACATGAACTCATTACCTTAATGCTTTCTCTGTTAAATCTAACAAGACCCTGCTGTAAATCAAGCAGACAACAGATGATCAATATCAATTCGCTAGGGATATTAGATCCAACATGGATCCAGGCACAACTGTCTTCACCAGCGTAACGAATGAGACACCAAAATATTCTGGACATTCCTCGCGAACACCTTTTTTCCAGCATTTGGGCTGTTGTTGCATCGCATGCGCTATCACAACAGCTGTTTGCCACTTGACTGTCACTCAGAAAATTCCTTCTTGGATCAGATGATGATGTGCGAAAATATCACGCATAACTAATCATCTGGACACCAAGTGCGCATCCAACAAGTATGATGCATAATTATTGAAGAACCACATTAATGACAGTATTGATTTAGGTTTTAATTATGAAAGTAAGGTTACTCTTTCGGTTAGAAGCATTCGATTTTGCAATGCATACATTATTTTGGATTTGTGTGCCCATGAAAACTGTTTTCACCCCGTAACATAAGGAGACACGAAACGTTACGTAGTTACACTGCATTTCTGAGATATCTATACAAAAAACTGTCCGACAGCTAGATCCAGGATTCTTAGAGGGTTCAAATTCAATGTCTAATTAAATTGATTAATGCTTAATATATAATATAATGACAACTTACACTGCCATAAATGCAAGGACAGAAAAGTAATGTTTTATGTCATGATAAAGGGTTTTAAATCAACTCATGAATTTTATTGAATATAGCTATGATCCCCCTTATATGTGACTAATTTCAGGAAACTAGGCATATGTCGCACGTCACTACTTCACAGGAGAGCCATTTGAACGTAAACATGTATTTTTTATCAAAATGCGTTTTTGGCAGAAATGCCTTCTGAATCATGTGAACGTTCCTTAATAACAAACTTGTATTCCATCCATAAATATGAATACAATTGTTAAATTTAGCCACGGAAAAGACAGGAACCTTCCCGCTAGTCATGATTGGCTGACATAATAGTTTGGATTGGTCTGCCATGTAGCATGCTTCTGTCTATAACGTGAGTTGTTCAGTATGTGTTGACAGTCCTTTCTACCACGCCGTTTTTGAAAAATATAACGTTAGCCATCGAGAACTACAAACGTTTTGCTACTTTTATCAACAACATTGATGCCCTGAATTTAGCAGGCACTATCAACACTATCAACACTATCAGTTGGAAAAAGTGATGGGCTACTTTCTGTACACACCACGGTCAGTGTGAACCGGAGTGACTTGACACAACGAGATGTTTATTATTTTATTTTTTGTATTTTACAAAAATGTTTCTCCCCAATTTTGATCTTGTTTCATCGCTGCAACTCCCCAACGGGCTCAGGAGGCGAAGGTCGAGTCATGCATCCTCTGAAACATGACCGGCCAAACAACGCTTCTAAACACCCGCCCGCTTAACCTGGAAGCCAAACGCACCAATGTGTCGGAGGAAACACCGTTCAACTGATGACCGAGATCAGCCTGAAGGCGCCCGGCTCTCCACAAGGAGTCGCTAGAGCGCGATGAGCCAATTAAAGCCCCCCGGCCAAACCCTCCCCTAACCAGGACGACGCTGGGCCAATTGTGCGCCACCCTATGGGACTCCCAATCACGGCCGGCTGTGACACAGCCCGGGAATGAACCCAGGTCTGTAGTGACACCCCTAGACCGCTGCGCCACTCGGGAGGCCCAGAAAGTTGTTTTTATTGCAAGATATAGCGTACTGTTTGTTAGATAGCAAACATTAGCTTGCTGGCTCGCTAGCTAAAGTTACGTGTATGATCTGTGTAGTAATATTATTCGAATCAGAAATCCATTTGCATTGCTAGTTATAGCCTAATGTTAGCTAGCTAACATCGAACCTAGTTTGTTAGCTTTAGCTACCTGCAGATTCATACTACAGCTATGACAATGTTTGTATTCGTAGTAGAATGAGTTGGGATTATGCCGGTTCATTGTTTAGCTAGCTAGCTACATGTCTAAACAAAAGACCCATCAAATTAGCCAGGTGTGTCTGGGGGTGATTACGGCCATCTATTTCATTTCATGAACATGTGTACATGTCTAGACAATAGTGACCCATCCACTTAGCTAGATGTGGCTGGGGGGTGGTTATAGCATTTCCTTCACATGACCCATCAATTTAGACAAGTGTGTCTGGTAAGCGTCATCTAATACTGATACAATATTTTATCTGGACACTTTCTGTTTTTGATGTTGCTACTATGCAAGTAACCACTTCACTGTACCATTTACACCTTCTGTATCCTGTGCATGTGACAAATAAACATAGATTTTATTTTATATAGTGCGTGTTTACCACATGGCCTCAGATGTGAATCCTTAAAGAGGTGGGTGGGGCTAAGGCTTAAGAGGGTGTGAATAATGCTGAATGGGTAGACAAAGAAGAGCTCTCCAGTAGGTGTACCAAAACGTTCAAGGGCCATTTTCTCAAAAGTGGGGTTAGAAGTTTATCCATTTTCAAAGCAGAATTACTTTCCCATTGTTCCTCAACTGCAGTGTATGATATACAATTTTCTAGCTCTGGGTCTCTACTTTTATCCAATGTAAAAACACCATTTCAAATGTTTTCCTTCATAAGACCGAATCGAGGCAGTCGGTCACATATCTTAATGTAATAACATGAAGAAAAAAAATCCATATTATTATCAATGATTTATCAACAGCTGTAACAAGTTGTCCAGTGTAGGAAATCCTCACTGGTACCTAATTTATAAAAATACCCAAATACAGGACCATGGGACATGAAGTCAGTTTACTAGTCAAAAATAGAGGTTTAATCAAGGACATCAATAAATGACGTGAGACTGTGATATATTGTTGTCTGCGCATGCTTCATCTCAACTCTCTCTTCTTTCTCCTCTCCTCTTTTTCTGTACTTTTCATCATGTCATCTCTCTCTCTCTTATCCTATCCTCCCTTCTCCGCTCACTCCTCCCTTTCTCCTTCCCTAACCTTTCTCCTCTTCTTACAGACAATGTCTCTTTTCTCTCTTCCCCCTCTCCCCTCCTCCCAGTCAGACTGCTGTTAATAGGAATTCATTTTTAGTGTGAGGTGAGGTGTGTGTGAGAGTGCGTATTTTTGGTGGGTGTGTGAGAAGTGTGTGTGTCGATGATGGATGAAGGTGATATTTCCCACATATCTCGTAAGGGAGGAGGGAGGGAAAGGGGGGGGGGGGGGGGGGGGGGGGGGGGGTAGGAAGGGGGACGAAGGGATGGAGGGTGGTAGACAAGGACACATGCTGTGAGACCTTCTACTTCTGATAGCCCAAAAGAACAGAGTGGAGCGGTAGAGACATAGCTACACCACCTAAGAGGAAGGCAGGAAGATACTGACAAAGGAACATTTGCAATGTAACCTCTAAGACAAATGGAGACATTTGTCGTAACTGTAGGCAACAGAGATTACAGAATGTGTTGGCCTTTTAATTACGGCGTGTTTTACCGTCTGTTAGCTGTAAGCCAAACTGTGCAAAAGTGAAATCGAAACTAACCTTGATGTTATGTTTAGGCATTCATTCCGAGCTCTTTGTTAAGTTTAGGCGTTAGGGTTACATTTATGCAATAATTCTGATTGGTTAGGGTTAAACGGGAACTGCAGCCACTGATTTAGCCTTGTTTTTTGGCTTACTCCTCAAGAAATGCTGCCGGCCATAACATAAGCCAAATGTGAGTTGTCTTGGGGGTGTGGTTTGATGTGGGTGTTTCTTGGGTGTGTCATTGCCACCACCAAGACACACCCATCTGGCAGAACCTTGCCCGCAGCTGTTTCCCCTGACTCAATCACAACAAACAAACCTCCTGCAGGTTGAGTTCAATAACTACAGGCAGATGTATTGTGAGATACTGGAGGAAGCTTTGAATAGGTCAGTAGCCTACAGCGTAATATGATAATGCAATTGGTGAATTAATGTAGATATTCTAAACTAAGTGTTTAGATAACTTTCAAATGTAGTAACAGGTCCATGTAGAATAAACTACTATTTACATAATGTCCATAGAAGCAGTGTTCTGCTAATATAACAATGTGCACATTTCAACTTTCATTGTCATTCCCGGCCGATACAGATACTGTGCCTATCGGCATTTTGTCTGGTGGTAATGGGGCTACCTTGGCAACAATGTCAGAGTGGTCATACCTTCCTGTGTGGTGTCCTGTATACAACAGGAGTTCCCTGATCCTGGTGCAGAATACACAGGGTTTCTCCCTCCCCATATTGACTGATACCATTCAATTCAATAATAAAAAAAGACAATACAAGTCAATGTTATGTCTAGTAAAATTGTAATGCAGAGTGCCAGGTCTCTCTCCATTCAGAGACATCAGTATCAAGCCCGTCTGTCAGTCTGGACTTCATCACATCATTTGGCAAGTCTCCATGTGCTGGCTCCATACATGTTTCTGTGAACACATACACACATAGTCACTGTTCTGTTACCAATGGCAGTTAGGATATGTAATATCTGACACACAAACAGGTGATATGTTAAAGTTTGAACAAGTCAAATAAAAGCTACTCAATTAAGGTCTCCCCATCAAACGACCGAGGCTGGCGTCTGGCAAAAGCATCTACAGTCCTCTCCATCTGTAGAAATAGGCAGAGTTGAGGCAGAGTACATCATTTCCACATGGAATGAAAAGGGTGTTGCAAATACTGGACATTTCTGCTGTACTGTATTATTACTAATCCCCTTCAGTCCCACATTGTGGATGTGTTGAGTGCCAGGTCTCTCTCCATTCAGAGACGTCAGTATCAAGCCTCTCTGTCAGTCAGAACTACATCACATCATCTTGCAAGTCTCCAAGTGCTGGCTCCATAGATGTATCTGTGAACACATACACACAGTCACTGTTCTATTACCAAGATAGGTGATATTTGACAAACGTGTATTATGTTGAAGTTTGAACAGGTCAAACTAAACCTACCTAATCCTGGTCTCCCCATTGACGACCGTTGGTGAGCAGGCAAGAGGTGAGGCTGGAGGTGAGGTCTTTGCCAGCGCAACATTGATGGGCATGGCAGCGTAGATCAGCTCCTGGCCCCTCATCAAACATACTGGTCGGTCACACACAAACACACACACACACAGAGCACTGATTACATTATCAATGGTGGTTATGATTAGCCTGGTGGAACCAACCTGATTGCTGCATTCACCTTTCTATTTCACTTCAGATATCAAGTGAAATAGAATGGAAAACACAGCAATCAAGCTGGTTCTACTAGGCTAGGTTATAAAGGTGAATTGGGACAGAACTAGAAACTGTTTTGATCTTTGACCAGGTCAAATGTCACCAACCTTATTCAAGTGTCCTCCCTGCTCCATTTATAGCTCACAGTGAGGGCATGCCTGTGTGATGGTGAGGGTCCCCTTGCTGGTCTCCTCTATGTTGCATGTGCGGCTGCAAACTGGACATCTCTTGAACAACTTCAGCAGGAAATCCTCATAAACAATGGACTTCCTCATCTTATGAGGTTGTGTTGACTGGAAGGGCCTGTGACAGGGTGATACAATAGACAGCCAAGTGGTAAATTGCATTTTGTTGTAAAGAAAGGACAAAGCTTTTTGATAATGCACTTCACAAATAAAATTACTCTACTACGTGTATCTGCTTGGCTGGGTAATTAACCTACTAGTTTATCAAACCGGGTATTTTTTAATACAACTTTTCACATAACACACACTACAGTTGTTGATCAAGCTAATTTTATGCTTTACAGATGTAGACTGACTGTAACTCCAGAATGGATTAGATTCAGGCTGGTGACGCTGTTACTGTTTGTTGCTCCTAGTTCACTGTATTAGTCAGAAGCAGACATGAGTTAGCTACCACCACAGCTGCATCCATTATTTAGTTTTGCAATACAGAATACACTTGTATGATCAATGAACTAACTTGCAAATCCGACTTGTAGGCTAACTAACGTTAGCTAACCTGTAGCTAGTTAGCTAGCCTGCCTCTCTAGCATTATCAAATGATAATGTTACATAACCAGCAGTATCTAGACAATACACAATAAACTTGTATGAGCTATGACCTAACTAAGTTGTAATGAGGTAGTTAGCTAGCTAGTTACCGAGCTAGTTATCTAGCCAGCTACGCTAACATTAGCTAAAATGTTAGATAGCCTGCCTCGCATTATCAAAGAAAGCTAATTATATAACCAGCAATAACGTTATCTAACGTCGTTAGCAAGATGTCATTTTATTCAAGTATCTCTGCTTATACTCACCACCACTGGTCGTTGCACACCAAGCTAGCATTACTGGTACAGACTTGGGACCAACGATCTCCAACCACCTATTCCGCACGGTAGGGTCCTTCAGCAGGGCATGCAAACCGTACTTGGCTGTGCATCCTGCTGGAAGGATGTGTTGTCGAACTGGAGCCGGCTTGGTCAATCCATATAGGGCTTTTCAGTCTCAAACGGATGTGATCCTTTGAACGTGTTGGGGGCCATGAAACAACGGAGCCCCATTCAATGAAGAGAAGGGAAGTGGGCGGAGGGGCGATTTTCACGTGGAGTTTGGCAAAAGGGGGCATGTATTGTTGACATGATTGTAATCCAAACCCAACCTCCATTTACATGTTGTGACGCACTCAGGTTCCAAACTCCGTTTTAGATGAGACTGACTTTATGACCAAAATTGTCCTATTTACACTTTGTAGTCAATTATGACACTAGAATAAATTTTTCTGACTTATATTGATGCCACATAGGCCGTTTTCAAATGGATTCGATTTTTAGGGGCAGTCGCTCTTTAAGGTTTGGGTTTAAAGAGAAAAACGAATATTACAAAACGAGTGCCTAGCACTGGGATTGGACCCGAGATATTCGGAGCTATAGCCCACGGTTTAAGCCTGTCCTCACCCCCATCCCCAACGCCCTTGCTTGAGCCTACAAGATGGTAACAGGCACTCGCGTTTCCCCTAGTGGACGGTTGGAACTTGCCATGGAATTAATATGTCAAACCGTGGCATAACTTCACCATTCTAAAAACGCCTGGACAGCACGTAATCCACTGGAGTTTGGGCTCGAAATTCCCTATAGCATTAATACTGGAGACTAGTGAGTGTTGCTTTGTCAAAAGTGACTTAAAATCATTTGTTAGACAGAAACGAGGGAGAGGAGTGAAATAACAGAAACAGTGTAGTCCTTGAGGTCTGGATTTAGAGCATAAAATGAGGCAAGGTGAGACGAGGAGAGCAGATTATGGCAGTGAGGCTGCTGCGGAGACACTCAGCGTGACCGAGACAAAAGCGAGATGAGAGCATGACAGAAGTGAAGCATGCAGCAGACGGGCAGATAGTCAGTAGGGCAGAGATGAAGGAGAAGAGATGACACGCACAAAGAGTTTTTCTGAACTCAGATAACATTACAAGTATTCCCAGTATTCTCATTCTTTCCAACAATAACTGAAGTGAATTACAGACTATGGCCATTTAGGTTCTAAGCATCTCCGCAAATAGTTTTCTATTTGTTACATTGTCACTTATCTGTCATTTCTCTGGTAAAATTACCTATTCTTACAGTTGAAATCAGAAGTTTACATACACCTTAGCCAAATACATTTAAACTCAGTTTTTCACAATTCCTGACATTAAATTCCCTGTTTTAGGTCAGCTAGGATCACCACTTTATTTTAAGAATGTGAAATGTCAGAATAATAGTAGAGAGAATGATTTATTTCAGCTTTTATTTCTATAATCACATTCCCAGTGGGTCAGAAGTTTACATATACTCAATTAGTATTTGGTAGCATTGCCTTTAAATTGTTTAACTTGGGTCAAACATTTTGGGGAGCCTTCCACAAGCTTCCCACAATGGGTGAAATTTGGCCCATTCCTCCTGACAGAGTTGGTGTAACTGAGTCAGGTTTGTAGGCCTCCTTGCTCGCACACGCTTTTTCAGTTCTGCCCACAAATGCTCTATAGCAGGGGTCCCCAAACTTTTTCCTGTGAGGGCCACATAACTTTTCCCTTCTCTGATGGGGGGCCGGTGTCAGTTTGTAACAGAAAAAGTGTGACGATCGTAGGGGAGCTTAAAACATTTATTGTTTTCAAGAAAGCCACACATAACCAAATAACCCTTTCCAGGTTCTTTACAGAAAAAAAGTCAGGAAACAAATAATAACACTATTAATGAAATAAATAATAACTAAATAACCCTCTCTGAGTTCTTCACAGAAAAAACAGGAAATAAATAACACTATTTATGAAATAAATAATAACTAAATAACTCTCTCTGGGTTCTTCATAGAAAAAAAAGCCATGGAACATTAACTTTCTGTTGTGCCATGCACAATCTTAACAGATAAAAGTTCAGCTCAGTTGTCAGAGCAGAATCTCTCTGACACATATGAGCAGTCTCTTAAAGTTCTTGTGTTCCTTCCTTATAATCCTTTTGTAGGTTCCAGTAGGCTTGTAGACACCGCTGTTTGCAGCTCTCTCTCATCAACTTCCCTGTGAAAACCACAAAGGAAGCAGGTTGAGAAACTGAACTAAGTGATACAGCACCTACACAGCACAATACATTTCACTACCAGTATGGTTGTAAAGATGGATTTTATCCCAGTAGATTTTATTATGATTATATTTGTTTATGCTCAGAATGACTCATTCAAGTCAGAAAAGTGAGCTTACCTATGTATGTTCATCAGTGTGAACTGTGGGCCTGCATCTGGCTGGTGAGAAGTTGAATATCAGGTTCCATTCTAGTTACAGCCAGTCTCAAGCACTGATGCAAATGTTCATCTGTCAATCTTGATCTCATCGGAGTTTTCAGCAGTTTCATGCGAGAAAAGGTTTTCTCGCAGATATACGTGCTGCCAAAAACTGTGGACATTTTCATTGCGTGTTTTTTGATGTTTGGATATGTGTCGTTTGGGAGGGCGGCATAGAAGTCAATGAGACTGTTGGGCTTGAATGCGTCTTTCAGAACATCACAGTTCTGTAACTCAGCCAACTCAAACTGATATGAAGGCTGGGCTTCATCAATGTCGGCAACAAAGGGGTTCTGAAAAAGACGGATTTCTTTTGCATGAACATGTAGTTCACTGAATCGCACACCGAACTCCGCCTTCAGCATTTCCAGTGCTTCCACGCACTTTTCAGCTGGGAACGGGACCGCTGGGTTCTCTGTCGACAGGTTTTGGGTAGCAGGAAGATGGACGAAGTTGCGCTTTTTCACTTGTTCCAAAAGCAGCGCTAATTTCACCTCAAATGCTTTTATGTGTGAATACATGTCGCAAATGAGTTTCCCCTCGCCTTGTAGCTGCAAGTTAAGGCTGTTAAGTATTTCTGTCACGTCTGTTAAAAATGCGAGGTGCCATTTCCATTCTGGGTCGATCAGCTCTGGGACCGTTTTGTCTTTTAAATGAAGAAATGCGTTAATTTCGGGTAGCAGCTCGTAAAAACGCCTCAAAACTCTGCCCCGGCTCAGCCATCGGACCTCTGTGTAGTACAGCACATCTCCGTGCGTAGACTCCAGTTCAGACAGGAATTCTTGGAACTGCCTGTGTTTAAGTCCCTTTGCTCTGATGAAGTTTATGCACGACACCACAACCTTCATTACAGAATCCCACGTCAACACTTTGCAGCACAGTGCTTGCTGGTGAATTAGGCAGTGGACTCGTAGCGGGGCGGTGAGACCCCTTTTTTCCAACTCCCGGTTCATGCGTCCTATTAGACCGCGAGTTTCGCCCACCATGCTAGGAGCCCCGTCAGTCGTGATGCTAGCTAGCTTTGACCAGTCCAGGTCCAACTTCTCCATGGTTTGGCACACTTTGTCAAAAATATCCTCTCCCGTTGTAGTCCCTTTGAGACTTTGGAGGGCTGCCAGCTCCTCGCATATCTCAAAGTTTGCGCTAACTCCACGAATAAAAATGAGCAGTTGCGCTGTGTCTTGCACGTCCGTGCTCTCATCCAGTGCTAATGAAAAAAAGTCAAATTCTTTCGTCTTCTGCTGCAGCTGGGCATATACATTACTCCCGATTTCTTCAACGCGTCTGGTGATTGTACTCGCCGACAGACTTACGGCATTAAATGCATCTTTCTTCTCGGGACACACCTCCTCCGCGACAGCATCCATACATTTCTTAACAAACTCTCCGTCAGTGAAAGGCTTACCGCTGCTTGCTATCAGTTTAGCAACCCGAAAGCTGGCCCGAACGGATGCCTGGTTCAGCTGAGCTTGGCGTACAAATGTATTCTGCTGAGATAGTAGTCCACTTTTTAGCTTTGATACCCTGCATTCTGAATCAATTTTTCTCTTACCTAACCTTTTCGCCATTATTCCGTTCTCTCTTTGACAGGGCCGGGCCTAGGATTTTTTTTCTGGAGGCCAAATAGGAAAAAAATCCGATAGCGTCTCTGGGATTGTTCAGAGGGCCGGGCCAAATGTGCTGACGGGCCGTATCCGGCCCGCGGGCCGTAGTTTGGTGACCACTGCTCTATAGGATTGAGGTCAGGGCTTTGTGATGGCCACTCCAATACCTTGACTTTGTTGTCCTTAAGCCATTTTGCCACAACTTTGGAAGTATGCTTGGGGTCACTGTTCATTTGGAAGACCCATTTGCGACCGAGCTTTAACTTCCTGACTAATGTCTTGAGATGTTGCTTCAATATATCCACATAATTTTCCTTCCTCATGATGCCATCTATTTTGTGAAGTGCATCAGTCCCTCCTGCAGCAAAGCACCCCCACAGCATGATGCTGCCACCCCTGTGCTTCACGGTTGGGATGGTGTTCTTCGGCTTGCAAGCGTTCCCCTTTTTTCTCCAAACATAACGATGGTCATTATGGCCAAACAGTTCTATTTTTGTTTTATCAGACCAGAGGACATTTCTCCAAAAAGTACGATCTTTGTCCCCATGTGCAGTTGCAAACTGTAGTCTGGCTTTTTTATGGCGGTTTTGGAGCAGTGGCTTCTTCCTTGCTGAGCGGCCTTTCAGGTTATGTCGATTAAGGACTTGTTTTACTGTGGATATAGATACTTTTGTACCTGTTTCCTCCAGCATCTTCACAAGGTCCTTTGCTGTTGTTCTGAGATTGATTTGCACTTTTCGCACCAAAGTACGTTCATCTCTAGGAGACAGAACGCGTCTTCTTCCTGAGCGGTATGACGGCTGCGTGGTCCCATTGTGTTTATATTGGCGTACTATTGTTTGTACAGATTAACATTGTACTCAGTTGGAAGAGCATGGCGCTTGCAACACCAGGGTTGTGGGTTCGATTCCGACAGGGGGCCAAAAAAAAAAGAGGTATGCACTCACTAACTGTAAGTTGCTCTGGATAAGAGCGTCTGCTAAATGACTAAAATGTAAAATGTACCTTCAGGCGTTTGGGAAATTGCTCCCAAGGATGAACCAGACTTGTGGAGGTCTACAATTTGAATTCTGAGGTCTTGGCTGATTTCTTTTGATTTTCCCATGATGTCAAGCAAAGAGGCACTGAGTTTGAAGGTAGGCCTTGAAATACATCCACAGGTACACCTCCAATTGACTCAAATGATGTCAATTAGCCGAAGCCTCTAAAGCCATGACATCATTTTCTGGAATTTTCCAAGCTGTTTAAAGCCAGTGTATGTACACTTCTGACCCACTGGAATTGTGATACAGTGAATTATAAGTGAAATAATCTGTCTGTAAACAATTGTTGGAAAAATTATTTGTGTCATCCACAAAGTAGATGTCCGAACCGACTTGCCAAAACTATAGTTTGTTAACAAGAAATTGGTGGAGTGGTTGAAAAACAAGTTTTAATGACTCCAACCTAAGTGTATGTAAACTTCCGACTTCAACTGTATGTGCAAGTGTGAGTGTGAGTGTGAGGTGAGAGCAGGAGGTGTCAGTGAGAGACAGAGAAGTTACAGATTTAGAAAGGGAATCAATTAAATTCTGGGTGATAAAATGAGTGAGAATCTTCACAAATCTACATCTGGAGGGGGAAAAAGTGTGTCCTTAATAAAATTGGATGTGATCTTTCAGTGGTGTTAAAGGTCCAATGCAGCCGTTTTTTTATCTCAATATCAAATCATTTCTGGGTAACAATTAAAGCTAAACTCAGTAAGTGCAAAATAAAGTAACACATTTTATATTTTGGTTTATATCTTTACATTTTGCAGCTGATTTCTCAGCCAGGCGACGTGATGACCTAGTGTAGCCATGACGAAATCTCCAGGCCCTCATGGTCCGGTCTGGAGCAACCTAGTGGTGCCAAAAGCCCTGGTCTGCCCTAGAAAGCCTATGTAAATTACGATAGCCGGAACAGCCAAAGATTTTCTTTTTTTATGGCCGTTTTGGGCTCTAAAATGTGTTTATGATCTAGTTCGATCCCCACAGTGAATTATTTTAAAGTTCGCTACATATTTTTACATTTCAGTCATTTAGCAGACACTCTTATACAGAGCGACTTACAGGAGCAATTACAGGAGCCTTGCTGAAGGGCACATCGACAGATTTTTCACCTAGTCTGCTCGGGGATTAGAACCAGCAACCTTTCGGTTTCTGGCACTACGCTCTTAACCACTAAGCTACCTGCCGCTACATATCGACATATTTAATGAAATAGTGATCCACGTGCTGACAGACCAATCCCAGGCCAGCAAGCTACAAGGACGCTCGCACCCTTGTACCATAGACAGTAAGGTTGACTTTCTCAGGCAGGAGGAAAATGACTACAGTACATCGACCAGGATCCTTTGCCACTTTCACCATGATCCTTAGCGTTTTTTTTTTTGGTGTCATTCAGCCCCATTCAGCAATATGGCGCGCTTCAAATTAAAATACTTCTGGCTTCATAGGAATACGGTCATGACTCATGAGTGCTGGTGTAGCGGTAATAGTCACTGCAACATCCCTATTTTAGACTGGCTTTAAGTACCTTACTGTGATTGTTACAATTAAAAAGCTCAAAAAGAAACAAAACTAGCTTCTTAGCAAAGAGCAATTTCTCAATCAAGAATTTTGCTAGGACTGTCTGGGAGTGGTCTGAGTGGGGAGGGGAAAACTGAAAACTAGCTGTTACTGGCAGAAAGGTTTGGAACTTTCTTTCTTATTGGTCTATTAACTAATTTACCGCCTGGTGATGCCAGAACTCCATCCCACAAAAACAGGCAGAAATTTCAGGCGGTCTTTTCAAACAGCTCTTACATTAAAAGGCCTTATCATTATTTTCACAATTTCACAGTATTATTCCAACCTTATAGTGTGGAAATATATATAAAACACAGGAAAATCACATTTTTGACTGCGCTGGGCCTTTAATGTAACACAAGCACGCACATGCACATACACACACCACATTGACGAAACGTGAAAAGCAAGAGTCCTGACTTGTTAACAAAGTGTTACCTGTCAGAGTTCAGTAAGAAAAATAGCAGAGCTACAAATGATATTCCAACAATATCTCACGGTTTTACCAATTTGACTTCAGATTGTAATGTTTATCCACGTTTCTCCAAACGTCAAATTTCGAAGTGGCTCCAAACGTCAAATTTCGAAGGATTTTTCACACCCTTGGTTGCTCCTCCTGCTCAGCATCGTTCCGTTTCACCAAACGTCAAATTTAAAAGTGTTTTTAAGTGGTTAAGGTAAGGGTTAAGATTTGGGATAGGCTTAAAACAAAAAACAAATGTCTACCACTGGGATTGAACACATGACCTTCCGATCCAGAGTCACCCTCAGGACATGGACAGACGTCCAATTGCAAAGTCAATCTTGAATGATCTCCCTGTGATATCCATATACACTTACCAGCCAGTTTATTAGGTACGCTACCACGTTCACGAAAATGGATCCCTTCTACAGACATTGAGTCACGTGGCATTGGCTTGCTATATAAAGCAGGCAGACAGGCATCAAGGCATTCAGTTACTGTTCGATTGAACGTTAGGATAGGCAAAACGAGTGACCTAAGTGACTTTGAGCGTGGTATGCTCGTCGGTGCCAGGCGCACCGGATCCAGTATCTCAGAAACGCCCTCCTGGGCTTTTCACACACAACAGTGTCTAGGGTTTACCGACAATGGTGCAACAAACAAAAAACTTCCAGTCAGCAGTAGTCCTGTGGGCGAAAACAGCTTGTTGATGAGAGAGGTCGAAGGAGAATGGCAAGAATCGTGCAAGCTAACAGGCGGGCCACAAACAGACAAATAATGGCACAGTACAACGGTGGTGTGCAGAACGACATCTCGTTACGCACAACTCGTTGATCCTTGTCACGGATATTGCTATTGCAGCAGACGACCACACCGGGTTTCACAACATTGCCTGGAACATGACAGCGAGTTCAGTTTACTTACGCATTCTCCAGACCTCAACCAAATAGAGAATATTTTGGATGAGATAGAACGGGCTATTCGCAGCATGAATGTACCGCCGTCCAATCTGCAGAAACTGTGTGATCCCATCGCGTCAGACCAACATCCCTGTGGAAAGTTTCCGACACCTTGTAGAATGCCCCGAATAATTCCAGCTGCTCTGGAGGCAAAGGGGGGTCCGACCCGGTACTAGATGGATGTACCTAATAAACTGTCCGGTGAGTGTAAGCCATTGACTTGCTACTATAACTATAGGTGTACTTAAATGACCTCAGATTAACTGGAAATAAAACACTAGTCCTCATTGAACAATATCCTACTTTAAAATAACACTATACAACAATGATACAACGATATAAGACTTGTGGAAATATTGGAAAGTTATTAACAAAATGGTAGTAGCTCCACCTGTGATAAGCAATGTTGGACCTTCTGTCATATTTACTAGCCTACCAATACAATCCTCTCGGATCTATACAAGTTGAAAGAGGGGTTTGTTTCTGGACTGGGCCCTAGATCCATCTCTATCCAACCCCCAAGCCACACTCTGGCCATCCCAAACCCATCACCATGACTGGGATCCATCTCTACCCAACCTCCAGTCCTCACTCTGGCCTCCATCCTCTTCTCTATCCAACCCCCAGGCTTCGTTCTGGCCTCCTGCTGGGTCCTGATATTGCCTATTATACAGTCATATCAGAGCGTTACACACATGCACACACACACATACACCAACACAAACACACAGCAGAGTGTCTCCTCTATTCTCTCTGATGAAATAGACAGATACACAGGGAGTCCCACTATGAAGACATGCGGTTTGTTTTGAGGGATTTCTCTTTATGGAAATAAACATTTCCTCTCCTGTGGAGACTATTGACACAAGCAGGGATAAAATGCTACAGTCCGTTAGTCATTTCACACAAACAACTCTTCCCCAACTCTTCAGTGCTTTTCACGTCAGCCAGCGTATGGTTTATTCATGGTCTATTATATGTTGACAGTTTGTGTCCATTTAATAAAGAAGAGAAACCGAAGCGGGAGAGATGGGCAGGAAGAAAAAGGGAGCTGAGCAGAAGGTGATATCATCAGTATTATACTAAATGTATTATAATATAGGCTTATACTGCATTAAAAGTCAGATAAGGATATCGTTAACATCATTAGGGATATAAAAGTGCATCAAGGTTAAAAAAGGGATGACTAAAATAGGTCTAACATAGGTCTCTTTTTGATTACATTCACATTTCTGTGTAGTCATCAGTAATTGGATCATCTGTTCAAGGTACAGGTAGAACTTGCAGCAAGAGAGAAGTGCTGTGCAAGTATTCACTGTGCAACTTAGTAATGTGCAAGAAAGAAATACAAGTACTGTAAGAAGCTGTTACAAAGCAGGTGAAAATGTATTTCCTTGTTAGTGAACCACTGATATATGATGTACTGCATGTAGTGTGTTTGTTTATGTGTGTGTGTGTGTGTGCGCGTGCGTGCCTGTGTGCATGTGTGTAGATAAGTACAGCACCATATGGGCTGTGTAATCGGAGGTCATTCATTAGGAGTGTGTATTAACGTTCCCAGGAGACTGAAGAATGAACCCTCTGTTTCCTTTAGCACCATGTCACTCTCTGACTAATTACTGCTACTGGTCGACTCACTGTGTTGCTGTGTGCTGTGTGTTGCCTACCTCGCCACCACGGTTTGTGCTTCTTCTCCTCCTCTCTTCCTCCCCTCCCTATCCTCTATTCTTTCCATCACCACAGTGAGTGGCTGTGTGTTTGTGTGTGTGTGCTTCGCCATGCATGTGTACAATACTTTATCTCCAGTAAATTAGTTTGTTATCAGTCAGCCCTGTTCTCTATGGTTCTGATTCCAAATCAAATCAAATCAAATTTTATTTGCCACATGCGCCGAATACAACAGGTGTAGACATTACCGCAAAATGCTTACTTACAGCCCTTAACCGACAATGCATTTATTTTTAATAAAAAGTCAAATAAAACAACAAAAACGTGTTGAGAAAAAAAGAGCAGAAGTCAAATAAAATAACAGTAGGGAGGCTATATACACGGGGGTACCGGTGCAGAGTCAATGTGCGGGGGCACCGGCTAGTTGAGGTAGTTGAGTTAATATGGACATGTGGGTAGAGTTAAAGTGACTATGCATAAATAATAAACAGAGTAGCAGCAGCGTAAAAAGATGGGGTGGGGGGGGGGGGTTGGGGGCAGTGCAAATAGTCTGGGTAGCCATTTGATTAGCTGTTCAGGAGTCTTATGGCTTGGGGGTAGAAGCTGTTGAGAAGTCTTTTGGAACTAGACTTGGCGCTCCGGTACCGCTTGCCGTGCGGTAGCAGAGAGAACAGTCTATGACTAGGGTGACTAGGGTGGCTGGAGTCTTTGACAATTTTGAAGGCCTTCCTCTGACATCGCCTGGTATAAAGGTCCTGGATGGCAGGAAGCTTGGCCCCAATGATGTACTGGGCCGTACGCACTACCCTCGGAGGCCGAGCAGTTGCCATACCAGGCGGTGATGCAACCAGTCAGGATGCTCTCGATGGTGGATCTGTAGAATTTTTTGAGGATCTGAGGACCCATGCCAAATCTTTTCAGTCTCCTGAGGGGGAATAGGCTTTGTCGTGCCCTCTTCACGACTGTCTTGGTGTGTTTGGACCATGATAGTTCGTTGGTGATGTGGCCACTAATTACCTTGAAGCTCTCAACCTGTTCCACTACAGCCCCGTCGATGAGAATGGGGGCGTGCTTAGTCCTCTTTTTTTTTCCTGTAGTCCACAATCATCTCCTTTGTCTTGGTCACATTGAGGGTGAGGTTGTTATCCTGGCACCACATGGCCAGGTCTCTGACCTCCTCCGATCCTAGTTAAGCGTGCGTAAAAGGAACATTATTCCTTTTTATGCACTTTCCTCTCTATAAGTATTCTGACCTTGAATTTAAGCATGAGAATAGCGTGCAATTCACCTGCTATTCATTTTGGGTGGAGATTGAATAAAGTAAGGTGTGGCGGAGGTGTGTCTACAGATATGCCGTATTTTGACCTTGACTTAATTCCCTAATAATTCCACCAACTTGACCCGGTTCCAAGTGGAAAAAGCATCTACTTATGTTTTTCCTATAGAAAGAGCACCATTCTCCATGCACTGTAATTTACAACTTGATAAGAGCTATTGATAAGATCTAGGTAAATGAGTAATCCATTTGGATAAGGGAATTGTAAATATTGTTTTAGATATATTTTACCTTATAATCGCTGGTGACAAATGTGAAACCAGTCATATGGCAGCAATCTGAAGCATGTCAACATATCAACTTTCCCACAGTAAAGTTTATCAAATGCTGGGCCATTATGCAGAATTTAAATTATATGTACAACCTTTTAACTTGCAGGGATGGGCACTCTTGAATATCTTCATTCTAGGCTACTCCAACTTTCTCTGTTTCCTATTTTTATCATGTTAAATACTACTATCAGTATCAACCGTCAATAGGCCTAATAATAACACATATTCAACTGCCAATTTACTGTTAGTTCAATTCAATTGGTACCTAACTTATCCTTCTATTTAATTACAATGTTTTGTTTACCTTCATTTGTTTCCTCTGTAAACGCCGTCATGGCCATGTGGTTGTTAATGAGGATCATTAGTAACAGTTGATAATATATACAGTACCGGTCAAAAGTTTTAGAACACCTACTCATTCAAGGGTTTTTCATTATTTTGACTATTTTCTACATTGTAGAATAATAGTGAAGACATTAAAACTATGAAATAACACATATGGAATCATGTATTAACCCAAAAAGTGTTAAACAAATCAAAATATATTTTATATTTGAGATTCTTTAAATAGCCACCCTTTGCCTTGATGACAGCTTTGCACACTCTTGGCATTCTCTCAACCAGCTTCACCTGGAATGCTTCTCCAACAGTCTTGAAGGAGTTCCCACATATGCTGAGCACTTGATGGCTGCTTTTCCTTCACTCTGCGGTCCGACTCATCCCAAACCATCTCAATCTGGTTGAGGTCGGGGGATTGTGGAGGCCAGGTCATCTGATGCAGCACTCCATCACTCTCCTTCTTGGTAAAATAGCCCTTACACAGCCTGGAGGTGTGTTGGGTCATTGTCCTGTTGAAAAACAAATGATAATCTCACTAAACCCAAACCAGATGGGATGGATTATCGCTGCAGAATGCTGTGGTAGCCATGCTGGTGTGTCTGTTACTTGATTTCTAAATAAATCACAGACAGTGTCACCAGCAAAGCACCCCCACACCATAACACCTCCTCCTCCATGCTTTACGGTGGGAAAAACACATGCAGAGATAATCTGTTCACCCCCACCACGTCTCACAAAGACACGGCGATTGGAACCAAAGGACACATTTCCACCGGTCTAATGTCCATTGCTCGTGTTTCTTGGCCCAAGCAAGTCTCTGCTTATTATTGGTGTCCTTTAGTAGTGGTTTCTTTGCAGCAATTCGACCATGAAGGCCTGATTCACACGGTCTCCTCTGAACAGTTGATGTTGAGATGTGTCTGTTACTTGAACTCTGTGAAGCATTTTTTTGGGCTGCAATATCTGAGGCAGGTAACTCTAATTAACTTATCCTCTGCAGCAGAGGTAATTCTGGGTCTTCCATTTCTGTGGCGGTCCTCATGAGAGCCAGTTTCATCATAGCGCTTGATGGTTTTTGCGACTGCACTTGAAGAAACTTTTCTTGAAATGTCCCATATTGACTGACCTTCATGTCTTAAAGTAATGATGGACTGTCGTTTCTCTTTGCTTATTTCATCTGTTCTTGCCATAATATGGACTTGGTCTTTTACCAAATAGGGCTATCTTCTGTATACCCCCTTATCTTGTCACAACACAACTGATCGGCTCAAATGCGTTAAGAAGGAAATAAATCCCACAAATTAACTTTTAAGAAGGCACACCTGTTAATTGAAATGCATTCCAGGTGACTACCTCATGAAGCTGGTTGAGAGAATCCTAAGAGTGTGCAAAGCTGTCATCAAGGCAAAGGGTGGATATTTGAAGAATCTCAAATAGAAAATATATTTTGATTTGTTTAACACGTTTTGTTAATACATGATTACATATGTGTTATTTCATACTTTTGATGTCTTCACTATTATTCTACAATGTAGAAAATAGTAAAAATAAAGAAAAACCCTTGAATGAGTAGGTGTTCTAAAACTTTTAACAGGTAGTGTATATATTTAAAACGTATATGCTACTTTATTCATTATGGAGCAGAGCGCAAACCAAGCCGTAACAGTTTGAACCCGACACATGGTGCAACACTTGGCTGTGTTATCACACAGTTCCATGGTTAGCACAGGCAATAGACAAGGGTATAGCCTACTATTGTACACTATTCTCCTATTATAATTATATATACTCTAATCTTCCTACATTACCATCAGTGGAGGCTGCTGAGGGGAGGACGGCTCATAATAATGGCTGGAATGGAGTGAATGGAATGGCATCAAACACATGGAAACCATGTGTTTGATGTATTTGATACCATTCCACTGATTCCGCTCCAGTCATTACCACGAGCCTGTTCTCCCCAATTAAGGTGGCACCAACCCTCCTGTGATTACCATGGGTTAAAGAACTGAATGTGGCAATTTTCAGAATGAATCAAACCACTGTATTTTTGATTCATGAATATATTTTGTGTGTAAAGGCTCTCCAAACCTGTTTTTGTATGATTCATACATACTTCCCAATTTAAAGGGATGGCTTAAGATAAATCTAATGAAAACTCCATGAGAACATCTGTTGGCCAGCAAGTGGGAGGGTTTTCAGCGTTTGAATTACATTTATTCAGCTTGCACTAGGGAACCACACCTGCAAAGCCCGTTACACACCCGCATAAGGTAAGTCTGAATACCATCTACTGAGAAGTGCGTAGGAAAGGCATGCGTAAGAAAATATATTTAATAAATTTTGTATTCAGGGTAACACAACAAAATGTGGAATAAGTCAAGGGGTATGAATACTTTCTGAAGGCACTGTTTGTCATGTTGATATAATTTTTTGTTTGATTCCATATGACTAGTTTCACATTTGTCTCCAGGGATCATAAGGAAAAATAATCTAAAACAATTGCTATGTGTATTTACAATCCCCTTCTCCAAACGGATTACTCATTTACCTAGCTCTTATCAATAGCTCTTATCAATTTATAAATTACAGTGCGTGGAAAATGCTGTTATTTCTATTGTTAAAAAATGAAGTAGATCAGGGCTCTACAGTGTGACCATTTTTCTCGCATATGGACCTAAAAATTCTGCTGTGCGAACTGGAATTTGAATTTAGGAGCACCAGTGTGCCTAGATTGTTTTTGATTCTAGCTTTAATATCTCAAATACACTACATGACCAAAAGTATGTGGAAACCTGCTCGTCGAACATCTCGTTCCAGAATCATGGATGTTAATATGGAGTTGGTCCCACCTTTGCTGCTATAACAGCCTCCACTCTTCTGGGAAGGCTTTCCACTAGATGTTGGAACATTGCTGCGGGGACTTGCTTCCATTCAGCCACAAGAGCATTTAGTGAGGTCGGGCACTGATGTTGGGAGATTAGGCCTGGCTCGCAGTCGGCGTTCCAATTCATCCCAAAGGTGTTCGATGGGGTTGAGGTCAGGGCTCTGTTCAGGCCAGTCAAGTTTTTCTACACCAGTCAAGTTTTTCCACACCGATCTCAACAAACCATTTCTGTATGGACCTTGCTTTGTGCACAGGGGCATTGTCATGCTGAAACAGAAAAGGGCCTTCCCCAAATTGTTGCCACAATGTTGGAAGCACAGAATTGTCTAGAACGTCATTGTATGCTGTAGAGTTAAGATTTCCCTTCGCTGGAACTATGGGCCTAGCCTGAACCATGAAAAACAGCCCCAGACCATTATTTGTACTCCACCAAACTTTGCAGTTGGCACTATGCATTCGGCAGGTAAAGTTCTCCTGGCATCCGCCAAACCCAGATTAGTCGGACTTCCTGATGGTGTAGCGTGATTCATCACTCCAGAGAACACGTTTCCACTGCTCCAGAGTCCAATGGCGGCAAACTTTACACCACTCCAGCCGATGCTTGGCATTGCGCATGGTGATCTTAGGCTTGTGTCTGGCTGCTCGGCCATGAAAACTCATTTCTTGAAGCTCCCGACGAACAGTTATTGTGCTGACATTGCTTCCAGAGGCAGTTTGGAACTCGGTAGTGAATGTTGCAACTGAGGACAGACGATTTTTACGCACTATGCGCTTCAGCACTCAGCGGTCCCGTTCTGTGAGCTTGTATGGCCTACCACTTCACGGCTGAGCCTTTGTTGCTGGTAGACGTTTCCACTTCACAATAACAGCACTTACAGTTGACCGGGGCAGCTCTAGCAGGGCAGAAATTTGACGAATTGACTTGTTGGAAAGGTGGCATCCTAGGACGGTGCCACATTGAAAGTCACTGAGCTCTACAGTAAGGCCATTCTACTGACAATGTTTGTCTATGGAGATTGCATGGCTGTGTGCTCGATTTTATACACCTGTCAGCAACGGGTGTGGCTGAAATAGCCGAATCCACTAATTTGAAGTTGTGTCCACATACTTTTGTATAATTAGTGTATATTTTCTTGTGCTCCTACATTTCTTAGTGTGAGCCTACATGTTTCCACTTAGGCCCACACGTGCTGTAAAAAAGTCAGCGTAGAGCGTAGAGCCCTGTAGATGCCTTATTCATGGTTTCCTCGTCCAGGTCAGAATATGGCGTATCTGTAGACACACATCCGCCACATCTTCATTTCTTAGATCTCCACCCCGAACGAATAGTGGGTGAATAGCATGCTATTTTAATGCTTAAGTTCAAGGTCACAATACACATATAGAAAAAAGTGCATAAAATGGGAATTATGTTCCATTTACACATGCTTAACTCAGGTCGGAATTAGCCCCTAACTGAAGCTAATGAGAGAGACAAAAGACAACAAAAACAAAGCTCATACCCTTCAATCGGAGAATGGCAGATTAGCCGTCTGGCAAAACAAGAAGACAATAGAATATGTGCTCCTGTTACTTTACTCTACTGGCATAGATTATAGCTATAGCAGAGGTGGTTCATTGAACTGCACTCAGGTAATGAGTAACCTCGCTTGAGACCTAAAATACTTGTGTCAGCTCTCTGAGCTGCCTAGGCTTTAGCTCAGCGGTTTAACATGTAATGAATCAGATATAGGCCAAGGATTGCCTGGACATTTGGTCTCTTGCCATTCAGAGAATGACACAACCCAATGAATATCTTATCAGACAGACAATAAAATAAGTCAGACGAACAACACAAAACAACAGACAGACAGCCCAGAGGCACTGAGAGAAAGAGGAGAGAACAAAGAGAGAGAGAGAGAGATTTGCCGAATAGTGTTTCATGTCTGTTAGTCCAAGTAGAGATGGTTACACAACAATATAACAGTCCTAAGGCAGAGAGGAGAACACCTCAAAAAGAAGGTATATGCTGTGCAAGCCAGCTTAATTATCACAGTTAGAGTTCTCTCCCTCCCTTCATCCTCCTCAGAAATGGTGGAAGGCAGAAAAAATACATTTGGTTCACTCTACTAATAATTGAATGTGGGATCCCTATGGCTTGCTCAAACTGTGTGGCATTAAAAGTGGTTCCCTATAATTAACTTTTACAAAAGGCATTGTTTTGACCTCGGTTGAACTCAGTTATTGCGTTGAACTGTGGACCTACAGGTTTTCATCCTTCCCCTCTAATCAGGGACTGGTGGTCTAAAACTTGTGTATCCATCTAGTAAATGTTATCTATTGTAACATTTTATAGATTGTCTAGAGTGGCTTGCAAAAGTTTTCACCCCCCTTGCCATTTTTCCTATTTTGTTGCCTTACAACCTGGAATTAAAATGGATTTTTTGGGGGGTTTGTATCATTTGATTTACACAACATGCCTACCACTTTGAAGATGCAACATATTTTTTATTGTGAAACAAACAAGAAATTAAACAAAGAAACAGAAAACTTGAGCGTGCATAACTATTCACAGCAGACGTGTTTGCTTATTTTGTTCTTTAAGCAATGGCTTTTTTTCTGGCCACTCTTCCGTAAAGCCCAGCTCTGTGGAGTGTATGGCTTAAAGTGGTCCTTTGGACAGATACTCCAATCTCTGCTGTGGAGCTTTACAGCTCCTTCAGGGTTATCTTTGGTCTCTTTGTTGGCTCTCTGATTAATGCCCTCCTTGCCTGGTCTGTGAGTTTTGGTGGGCGGCCCTCTCTTGGCAGGTTTGTTGTGGTGCCATATTCTTTCCATTTTTTAATAATGGATTTAATGGTGCTCTGTGGGATGTTCAAAGTTTCAGATATTTTTTTATAACCCAACCCTGATCTGTACGTATCCACAACTTTGTCCCTGACCTGTTTGGAGAGCTCCTTAGTCTTCATGGTGCCACTTGCTTGGTGGTTCCCCTTGCTTAGTGGTGTTGTAGAGTCTGGGGCCTTTCAGAACAGATGTATATATACTGAGATCATGTGACAGATCATGTGACACTTAGATTGCACACATTTTGACTTTATTTAACGAATTATGTGACATCTGAAGGTAATTGGTTGCACCAGATCTTATTTAGGGGCTTTATAGCAAAGGGGGTGAATACATATGCACGCACAACTTTTCCGTTATTTATTTTGTATAATTTTTTTAACAAGTTCTTTTTTTAATTTCACTTCACCATTTTTGACTATTTTGTGTATGTCCATTACATTAAATCCAAATAAAATCAATTTAAATTACAGGTTGTAATGCAACAAAATAGGAAAATCTCCAAGGGGGATGAATACTGGGCACTGTATTAGCTGGGCCTCTTTACATAAGCATGTCCTGAAATGCCATGATGCCGAAATACAAACAATGATTGACTTTGATGAAATCATGGCAAACTCCTACTGTTAGCTAGCTCCTATACACAGAGGACCACATTCACCTCTCTCTCTCTATATTTTCTACACCCCCTCTCCATCCCCACCCCCCTCTCTCTTTCTCGCTCTCCTCTTCCTGGAACAGACACGCAGGAACCGGTTGTCATGGAAACCTTGCTCTCTGGGCAAACTTACGGAAACACACATGAACAAGCGCACACACAAACACACTGTATTTAATAAATACTTAATGGATCTGCTGAGGGGATTATAAGACCACTGATTTACTGACTGGACAGTATAGTATTTCATTATGCATAGCATTTCTGATAGCAGCTCTGCTGTGTTTGTGTGTGTACAATACCAGTCAAAAGTTGACACACCTACTCATTCAAGGGTTTTTCTTTATTATTTTTTATTTTTTTACATTGTAGATTAATAGTGAAGATGTCAAAACTATGTAATAACACATATGGAATCATGTAGTAACCAAAAAAGTGTTAAACAAATCAAAATATACTTCAAATAGCCACCCTTTGCCTTGATGAACACACTCTTCTGCAGATGTCAAAGTCTAACGAGAGAAAGAAGAATGAGAGAAAGAAAGAAAGAAAGAATGAAGACGGAGGATGAAATAGGTACCTTGTCAAGTAGATCAATAAAATAAGCTTATCACACAGTAACCCACTGAACAGGTGAACTATACTGGTATCATATCATTGCTCAACAGTTTGTAGGGGATGAATGTCTTTTGGTTCTGCTGAAGAAAGATAGTGATTCAGATAGAAAAGCAAAAATGTGTGTGTGTGACAAAATAAATAAGAGAGAGAGGGATTCATGAAGAAAGATACAAGAAGAAAGTTTACTCAGTCCAGCCTTTCTTTCATTCTATACTGAACAAATATATAAACGCAAAATTCTAAAATGTCTAAGATTTAACTGAGTTACAATTCATATGAGGAAATCAGTCAATTGAAATAAATTCACTAGGCCCTAATCTATGGATTTCACATGACTTGGTCACAGATACCTTTAAAAAAAATGGGCCTCAAAATGGGCCTCTCATCACGGAATTTCTGTGCATTCAAATTGCCATCGATAAAATGCAATTGTGTTTGTTGACCGTAGTTTATGCCTGCCCATACTGTACCATAACCCCACTGCCACCATGGGACAATCGGTTCACAAAGTTGACATCAGCAAACCGCTCATCCACACTATGCCATACACGTGGTCTGCGGTTGTGAGCCCGGTTGGACGTACTGCCAAATCTTCTAAAACGACGTTGGAGGCGGCTTATGCTAGAGAAATTAACATTAAATTCTCTGGCAACAGCTTTGGTGGACATTCCTGTAGTCAGCATGCCAATTGCATGCTCCCTCAAAACTGGCATTGTATTGTGTGACAAAACTCCACATTTTAGAGTGGCTTTTCATTGTCCCCAGCACAATGTGCACCTGTGAAATGATCATGCTGTTTAATCAGCTTCTTGATATGCCACACCTGTCAGGTGGATGGATTATTTTGGCAAAGAGGAAATGCTCACTAACAGGGATGTAAACAGATTTGTGCACAGAATTGGAGAGAAATAAGCTGTTTGTGCATAGGGAACATTTTTGGGATCTTATATTTCAGCTCATGAAACATGGGACCAACACTTTACATGTTGTTTTTATATTTTTGTTCAGTGTATAGTACATCCACAGTTCAATTCATTTAATAATTACCATGTAATCTCCATGCACAGAGAGTATAATGGCTCTCTCTCGCACACACACACATACACACACACACAGTGGCTGTGACCCCATTTTCCGAGGGGGTCTCAGATTATTGCTTTTTAATTTTTTACAATTCACACATTTGTATAATACACACTTGTACATGTGTGAAATAGGACAAATATAAGCACCCACATACATACATATACCGTATCCACACACACACACACACACACACACACACACACACACACACACACACACACACACTACAAGGCATATATTGAAAACCACACCGAACCAATAGATAGAAAATATCAGATACCAGCAGCACCACACAGCTAGAACACTTCAGCTCCTAGACATAGAATGACAAAGCTGGAACAGAGATACAACTATAGAGCTACAACACAACAGCTCCTAGTCCAAAAACACTCCTATATTGAAGCAAGAACCAGGAGCAGCTCCAGACCCAGACCCAGAGCTCTGCTCTCACCTTACCTGCGGAGGTGAGCCCGCTGTGGGAGTCTGGGTCTGGTTAGGACCAGGACCAGGACGGGGGGTTACAGTGGAGAGACTGCCTACCTTTCTCCAGTGTCCCTGTGAGGAAGCGGTAGAAAAAGCGAAACACTTTGGTCAGCTGTCTCTTGCATCTCTTCCTGCAATGGCTCATCTTGACTCTGTAGTGGCTAATGATAGTCACAAGGTGGGGGTGATGGCGAGTGTTGGGGGGTATCGACTAGGCAGAAAACCAGCGAAAAGAGGGAAAGAAGGAAGAAAGGAAAGGGAGTGTAAAGTGTAGCTGCTTGCTGCTCTTCTCTCTCTCTCACTCTCTCCACCTTCTCTATCTCCTTTCGTTCGTGGCTCCACCTCTAGGCCTCCTGCTGTCAATCAACAACAGTGTTCTGTCTCCTCCCCCTTACCCTGTGAGAATCCTCTCACTCGATCTGATTGGCTGGGAGAGTGGCGGAAAATTCTGTGTACTATACAACTACTGTACTCTGAGTGACATGTTTTTCTACTCTCTTATTTTCTCTCCTCTACTCGTTCTATTGTCTTCTCTTCTTCCTCCAGTGACTATTTATTTTCTCCTTCTCATCTGTCTCCTGTTGTTTTTCTCCACTTGCTGCTTTCAAAAGAAGCAAACACTGCCTGGGAGGTTTGTTTTGGTGTGAGCCAGCGGGAGAGTAAGTGTGCATGTTTGTGTGTGTGTGTGTGGGTGTTTGTGTATGTGTTCCAGCGGGAGAGTAAGTAATGCGACAGGGAGCAACAAAGCAAACACGGCAATTAGCGTCACTCGCCGCTCTCCTCTCCTCCCTCATTCTCTCTTTTGTCTCTCTCCCTCTCTCGCTATCTTTTCCGTCGCCTCTCTTCTCTTCTCCCAGTGTATGCTAAGCTCTCATGTGGACCAGAGGGAAGAGAGAGGGAGGGTGGAGATGGAGAATCTGGTCAATGACTTCCTCTCTTAATTTTGGATTCTCTCCGAAGATGTAGATGCATGAAATGTCCAAATCCCAGTAGAGCCAGAGGAGGAAAGGACGGTGTGAGCTCTCCCTCGTCTCTCTCAGCTTGTCGACCCACAGTCTCCATCTGTAGCCTTTGACCGCACACCCATTGAGGCGGGTGGAACTGTCTCCTGTGTCCCAGTTGTGGTGGAGAGCGAATGCTCTATTCTAGCCAGCGACCCTCGGTCACCCACAGTCAGCGTCACCCGCACCCCAATGAAGGACTCAATGAGAGTGACAGTTGGCTCCTTCGCCCGTCGCCTCGGCATGCTCCTCCACGGCGACTCTGTAGAAATAGTTGCCCCTACACCCTTTAACACGTTTCCCAACCTCAAGGTGAAGGAGGCGGCAGTGGTGGAGGGAGAGTTAGGCTCCAGTGAGCCCCTTCTCTCCCCTCAGCCATCACAGGTCTCAATTTTTACATTTACATTTTAGTCATTTAGCAGACGCTCTTATCCAGAGCGACTTACAGTTAAGTGAGTGCATACATTTTCATACTGGCCCCCCGTGGGAATCGAACCCACAACCCTGGTGTTGCAAACGCCATGCTCTACCAACTGAGCTACATCCCTGCCGGCCATTCCCTCCCCTACCCTGGACGATGCTGGCTAATTGTGCGCTGCCCCATGGGTCTCCCGGTCGAGGCCGGCTACGACAGAGTCTGGATTTGAACCAGGATCTCTAGTGGCACAGCTAGCACTGCGATGCAGTGCCTTACAGCACTGCGCCACTCGGGAGATGATCCGGCCCTCTCCCCAGAGCGTGACTAGTCATACGCTTCTCATCCAGAGCCCCTTTGTTCTCGTGGGGAGGCCCAGATAGAAGTCGAGGCCGATTTCACTCTGGAGGAAGCCGAAGAGGCCAAGGAGTCTTCACTACACAAGCGCCTGAGTATGAGCTTGATCACCTGCCACGACAGCATCGCCCCATCCCAGACCTTGGCCGAGGTGCACTACGAAAGCCCTGAGTCTCCTCTCCCTGACAACGCTGCTGCTGAACTCCACAAGGACGAATGTGACCACGCGTATGCCCTTCCCTCAATCACCTCTGACCTCGCACAAGCTCTGACCCCAATGGCTGAACCACCCATCCCCACCGTTACCGAGTTAACTGAAGTCACTGTTGCTACGGAGATGCCCAAAGCGGAGGAGAAAGTGGAGGTCCCAACACCAGTGGAGGAGCCAGTGATGCCTGTCACGCAAGAGTCGCCTGTTGTACCATCCCCCACAACCACTGGCCCAAGCCCCAGTGTGAGCCAGCAGCAGCCCCAAACCACTGGGATCCGCTGCCCCACCTTCAACACCAAGAGCCCCAGTCAAATGGTGTTCAAGCCCCAGTGGCTAGGGAAGGGCTTCGGGGCCACAGGGGTGAGGGCCAGAGGGAGAGGAGGCAAGGGGGGCTCGTCCTTTTCACCACACTCCGTCCAGGTTGGAAACAAGAACACAGCCAATGAGAACAAGGGGCAGTCGGTCAAACAGAAGCAGAGCGACAAGGCACTCGTGGCTGAAGGCCGCTCCCGTCTGCAGATGCTCAAGGAGACCAACTCCCCCCGGGAGCAAGCTACACAGATGAAGCTGAAGGTGTCCACCCCAGACAGACAGAGGCTGGGCCAGATGGACCGGAGAGTCCTGACTGTGTCCCTGGACAAGGAGAACCGATAGACTGATGTGGCAGAAGAACATGCACAAACACTAACTGACCAGTGTACAGAATCTTGCAATTTTTCTACATCTTTCTAAAAACAAGCCTTTTTTAAAGTGTACAGCCTTTTTTTTTCAACTGACTTTTTCAAACTGCTAACAAATTATAATTTGTGCACATGATGTTTTTGGAAGTGCCATCGATACGATTTATTGTCTGACAGTTTTTTCTTTAGATTTATTTCAAACGTCCATATCAATGTTTTTTCTATCCTGTCCTTTTATGTAAATAAATAAATAAATAAATAAATGTGCTTTCAATCGGAATGTGTTTCTATGCTTTTAACTGGAAAATGTATGCACTCACTAACTGTAAGTCGCTCTGGATAAGAGCGTCTGCTTAATGACTAAAATGTAAAAATGTAAATGTATGTGTAGTACAGGAGCAGAAACCCCAGTAGGAGTGAAGGAGAGGGGGAATCAGTTGTTTTCCCACTTGTAGTAGAAATCCCAGCTGATGGAGTGAAAGAATGAGACATAGAGTGGTATCAGTCTGTCAAAAGGAGAGGAGGAGGGATCTAATCCTCTGAAGAAGAGTGTAGGAGAAGCAGCTTTCTCTCTCGCTCGCTCTGTCACACGTCTTTCTCTCTCTCTCTTTTGCTCCTGTCCTCTCTCAGTCCCTGACCTGTCACTCAGCCAGCAGAGTGGAAAACACAACACACACTTGCAGCAGTGGATGCTGCTGAGGGGAGAACGGCTCATAATAATGACTGTAACGGAGCGAATGGAATGGCATCAAACACACGGAAACCATTCACCCATTCCGCTCCAGCCATTACCATGAGCCCGTCCTCCCCAATTAAGGTGCCACCAACCTCCTGTGACTTGCAGTCACAATCACATTCTAGTAGACTTTGCTTTCACCTCACTTTCTCAATTTACCTCTCTCTGTCTGCTTCTACCATTCTCTGTTTTTTTCTCACCCTCTTCTCTCGCCAAGGCAACGACAGACTCCATGGATTTTCCTTGTGGCCAATCAGAGACTATGCAGGCCTTTTATGCTGCTTTGAACAGTTTATTAATTCCTTTACTCACCACAGGGATTGATTACTCACAGATGGCAGAGAAAACACAGAGGAGGGGGGTCAGAGGGTAATTGTCAGAGAGTAAGAAATAGAGCGACAGACAGAGAAGAAAACTGAGCAGGAGAGAACTGAATTGAATGTAGAGAAAGGTGGCGAGAGCACAAAGAGGAAGCAGAAAATAGGGTGACAAAGACAGATTTAGAGAGTGAGATTAACAACCGTGTGTATGAGATACGGAGCCAGTGAACATCTGTAATATGACACACACTCACACACAACCTCTTCATGTGGCAGGCAAAAGCAACAGGTGGTATGACAGACTCAGCACTCGATTCAATGTGAACATGACGGTGGGAGAGAGAAAAATAATGAAAGAGGGAGCCACCAGGTGGAAGTGCTTGTGTCAGTTGATTGTGCTGACTAATGTTGGACAATTCTATGAGGTCATACGTGCACACACACACACACACACACACACACACACACACACACACAAACACAAACATATATACAAAACAATTAAGCGTCTCCCTTTCTTTCTTACTTCCATCCCCTCTCTCCCCTCCACTCTCCCCTCCACCTATGCAGAAAAAAAGGGAAACACTGTTTGTGATAAACAGAAGGAAAAGTTTATCCTGAGAGAGGTAGAAAGACAGAAAGAGAGAGTGATAACAGAGATGTTGTAATGGAGTCTAAAGAAGCCCATTAGACTAAACTAATGATGCATGTCTCCTCCACAGAGAGAGAAATAGAACCAGCGTTGATTTGTAATGAATATTCATTAGCAACTGTTTGGCCCCGTTTGTAGAGGAGAAGTGTGTGTGTGTTTACGTGTGCATGTGTTTGGCTTTGCTCTTGTCAGGTTTGTGGTAGCTTCTGCTGAGTGAGTGATCTCATCTGTTGGCAGGTGAGCGCAGAACAACTTATAGCATATTATGTACAGTAGGAAGACAAGGGCAAACGTTCGGACGTGTTAGGGCCTTGCGTCGCTGGCAACAGCTTCGGTCCTGCCCATTAAGGGGATAGAAAAGGGAATCTCTAATTGAAATCCATTTCATTTTAGTGCTGCGTTAAATGGTTTAGAATAATATTTTCATAATCATGTTGAGTTGAAGCCTGACATGTGATGTGCAAGTTACCAAGTCAAATGTCAAAATAAATCACTTTTACCACTTATTTCAAGCTATTAAGCCAAGGTGGTGAAATGCTAATGCAATACAGCATTTGCATGCTTACGGGTGTCCTGTGCCACTGTAAAAACATACAAATTTGGTGGGTTTGTATCTAGTGTGAGTGGGAACATGACCACAGGTGTTTTTTGCTTTGGTTCTTCTCCACTGCAGTGGCTAGGACTGTAAATAACTTGTGCACATTAGCTGATAAAATAGCCAGCCAAGCATGAAATTGGCTGCTAAGTACTACTAATATAGTAGCTAATATCGACGAGGCAAAGATTATTTGCATCTCTGTAATTTATTTGAGATAAACTAAAAAGAGGAACTTTCGTCAAGTGTTGTGCATGTTATGTATACCTAGCAATAGCTATCTTGAGGCAAGGCAGAAGCAGTGGCACTCTTCATCAGCAGAAATCAGATATATTGTTGAGAAAACAACATCACCACTTTGTGTGCAGTTCAAAGACCTGAGCCAGCTAGTTGTCATCGATAACAGATCAGGTTTGAATAACCCAAACATGTGTTTTACGGTCGGGACGGACTGCATGACCAAAAGTGAGTGACTGACTCAAGCTACATGACAACTTTCAAGCAACCTATAGCCAGCCATCTAGCTAGCTAACTATTTTCCAATCAAGGCATTCGTTTGATAGCCTATCTAAGATATAATATAGCTAGATATAATTTCTCAAGTTGAAGTTGGATATAAAAGTGCTGTAGCAAAGGATCTACTATACAGACAGTTGAGATTGCATGAATACGTTTTAAACCAAAAAATGTAGCATCTTAATTTGAACCAAAATGTATGTAAATGAATGGGTTTTCCCAGAGCCATGTATTTAGAGAGTTGGGACTTTGAGGTTTCTGCATTTCGATGCATTTACATGACACTACAAAATGATATTGCCCATAACCCCATAACCATTACATGGAGAATATTTAAACAATGCAAGCATTATAAAATAATTTATAGTTTGAATGTGGAACCCTTACGCACACGGGCGGCAGGTAGCCTATCGGTTAAGAGCGTTGGGCCAGTATCCGAAAAGTTGATGGTTTGAATCCCTGAACCGGCAAGGTGAAAAAATCTGCCTTTGAGCAAGGCAGTTAACCCCCAACAACAACTGCTCCCTGGGCACCGATGACATGGACGTTGATTAAGGAAGCCCCCCGCACCTCTCCGATTCGGAGGGGTTGGGTTAAATGCGGAAGACACATTTTGGTTCAATGCATTCAGTTGTGCAACTGACTAGGTATTCCCTTTCCCTGTACACCACTGAAATGTAAACTGTGACCATAAGCAGCAGTGTGAACCAAAGACATTGCGTGAGGCTGCGCTTGTACACAGAGCATCTGCACTTGTACACAGGGAGTTTGCTTCACTTTCCTGCAATGTGGTAGCTGCATAACAATTAGCCTGTTTGTTTGTTTCTCTCTGCAAATGCTAATGTATATGCTAACTGCTAAATAGACTCTAGGGCAGAGATGGGCAACTTTGATGGGGGTGGGGGCCACAAAAAAACGGAACTCATCATGAGGGCCGCAGTGGCCCCCTCGTGTCAGTGAAGATAAACAATTATCGTGAATTTCCTGCAATTCTGCAAATTTTGCCATGGGCGTAGAGAAAATGTTGCAGTTTTAAAGCAAATTTGCTGCAACTCCATACATTTTGCCATGGGGCGGAGAGAACATAATGCAATTTTCTAACTCATTTTATGCAATTCTACTCATTTTGCCATGGGGCGGAGGCAAATGTTTGCAGTTTTTATTATGATAACTGATAATCAATGGGCCCCACCCCGGTCGGTAATTCGACCATGCTTACTACAAGTTTAGATAGCTGGTTGCTAGACTAATTGACCAATCTAAAAACATTTTGCTGGCAGGGGCTAATTGAGTGACTGCTGATGCACAACCAAATTTCTAAATTGCACCTAGTGTATTCTATTATTATAACTCTCAACAGTAAGTTGAGACCCCGACTGAGTTCCATTTTCATTTCTGTATTGGTCCGCAGGCCTACAAAAGGGGGGACGCCAGTTGCCCATCCCTACTTTAGGGGGTCACCAAACACATAGACCCTAGATGCTGTCAATTGCCCAATTTATAGGCATGCACAATTTAGGGATCTTTTTTAACAACAAGATATTGGGCTCCAAAGGGATAACTTGAATTTATGACTCAAATAGCTGAGTCTACTTTTAAGGCCTGACACAGTGTGGCGAGTGATTTAGGAGTCAGGCGCAGAGGGTAAATCACAGAATAACAGGTTTATTCCGTAACACAGCGGTACGCAGCAATGCGTCAAACACTCCAGCAGTTGGCAAAGCCAATAAAGCGCTACACCTCCTTTACCGTGGATGGAGTCGGCCAATTACGCACGGCTGAAATGCGATCTCCCTCCATCTCCACACCTGAGGTGGTGATGCGGTATCCGAGGAAGGAGACGGACTGATGGAAAAACAGACACTTTTCTGCCTTGGCATAAAGGTCATGTTCCAACAATTGGCCCAGCACTTTGCGAACCAGGGACACATGCTCGACGTGCGTAGCGGAATACACCAGAATGTCATCGATGTAGACCACTACACCGCGACCAAGCATGTCCCGAAACACCTCGTTCACAAAGGACTGGAAGACTTATGGAGCATTCATCAAACCGTATGGCATCACCAGGAATTCGTAATGCCCCGTGGTTGTGCTGAATGCTGTCTTCCACTCGTCCCCTTCTCGGACATGCACCAGGTTGTACGCACTCCGG